TCGGTCTCTAAAGGTCAATTTTTATCAAAAACATGATAGTAAAAGCCGCACATCGATATCTGTTACCGTTACGGGGTGTTTTTCAAAAATGTTAAATTTTTAACAAATCGCTATAACTTTTTGCTATGGAAAATTTGGTATTTTTATGTCGGAATTTAATGGTCAATAGTTTTTTAAATTAACAATTTAAGAGTTATTAACAGAAAAATTGATTTCTTGTTTGAGACACCTGTATATTTTAATTTTCTGAAAATAATTTAAAATTGCTGCTTTAAAAAATAGCACACTTAATATTTTGTTATAGTCCCCTTCGAAAATTTGGAATTTTTAAAAGTTTGCCACTTTTAACTAGTAGGCTTTGGACCCCTTATTGATGATCTGCCCTAATGGAACTCGAAACACATATTTTTTCAGCAAAACGAGGTACCGCCTCAGAACACTGAAGTTATCAGCAAATTTTTCCAGCCAATTTCGAGAATAATGAATAGCTAACGAAGATCTCAGCCGTTGGCCGTCGAGGCCGCCGGACTTAGCGCCTATGAATTTTTCTGTTTGCGGAAGAATAAGGGTTCTTATTTTCATATTGCCCGTATAATCTAGGCAAGAATTAGAAGTACTTAGAGGTTATGCGAGGGTATCTTTCATCTCCACTGAGTTAATGAATTCCGCGAGAAATGTTCAAAAACGGTCCCATCTGTCCATTACAGAAGACGTTCATGTCGAACACCTGTAGCAAAATCTCATGTTTTGGTTTGTCATTTATTTTTATTGTTATTAGATATAGTTTAAATGTGTTGATGTAAATGTGTAAATTGTTATAAAATTCTGCATCTCATTGCAAATATTATTTTAGTTTTAATTGCTGCTCACAGCTAGAATTTTTTTGTATAACAGTGGGCGCCGTTCAAAGCGTACTTATTCAAAATGGACGATTTTTTAAAATCTATCTCGAAGATAGTATATTATATCTTTGGAAAGGTAAGTTTAAATTATTTTCAATGAATTAAAAATATACAGGGTGTCCCATATAAAAAAATCCAATTTTCTGTTGATAACTCTTAAATTATTAATTACGTAAAAAAGTTGCTTGTAAAAAGGTGCTTTGTAAATGTTTTCATAAAAATACAACATTTTTCATATCAAAAAAGTTACAGCGATATGTTAAAAATGCACATTTTGAAAAACACACCGTAACTCCGAAACGGTAACAGATATCGATGTGCGGTTGTAGTTGTAGTTGTGTTTACCGTCATGTTTTTGATAAAAATTAAGCTTCAGTACACCGATATTAATTTTCATCTATCTTCTCTAGAAAAGGGTGTTACCCTGTAAAAGAGTCCAATTTGGCCCAACTTGTACATACGCTTAATCTATGGACATTTTTTAGATTTATTATTTGGAAATTGGTTAACAAATTATTTATGACGTTAGAGAAAAAAATGCATGTTCTATTTAGAGTAAAAATTACTTTTTGTGCCTCACCTAAAATGTCAAACGTACGCAAAAAAAACATTTTTTCTCAAAACAATATCAAAAACTTAAAAATAATATCAATAACCTTGGTGATCAACCATGAGAACCTGACGATTGTTGCTCAACTTTGCTCGTATAATCGCACTATATCACGTGGTTTTATTGAATCGCACCAAACATCTGGTAGGGCTAATTTTGAAGTTGGGGGGCTAAGCCCCCCTTAGCCCCCCCTAGTTGCGCCTCTGCCTGATTTGCATTTCTTTTGTTCCCGCTGGAACTGGCCTATTAGATTACGCATTTTTTCTCAACTTTTTCTGTTTCCAAATGCATACTATGAAATGAAAATCGCTGTCATTTTATATGGAAAATTATATGGGGAATGTCATCGATCGTCATGTCCAAGCCAACTGGACGGGAGGCCGACGGGACGCAGTTTTTTTTTCGATCATACGGTATTATTGACCAGTAAATAAACAAACCAATATCAGCTCACCACACTAAGATTCTGTGGCGCACGTCCCTGAAAATATGAGCGGCTAAACTAGAAATTTAGCAAGTGTGGACGCGTTGTTTCATGTTACAATAGCAATGTTGCACAACATCTTTTGATCTTTACCGACTACAAATGGATAACATCTAGCAAGTTATATAGCATCGAAATTTGGTTAATATAACTAAAAAATATGTAACATGTTATATAACTTTGCTATATAGCAGTGTTATATAGCAAGTGTGGACCGTCCTTTTATGGGAGCGAAACCTGGGTGCCGATGCCGTACCGACGACACATGAACGCATTAAACAAGTTGCAACAGAGACACCTTAGACAACTCTTAAGAATCCGGTGGTTCCATCATGTCTGAAACGTATTGGTCCTTGAAAAAGCTAACTGCGAGAGTATTGAAGTCATGGTTACAAAATCCCGCTTAAGATGGGCTGGTCACGTATGCAAAATGCAAGAAAACCGCATACCAAAATCTCTGCTTTACGGTGAGCTTGTAGACGGCAAGAGAAGGCCGGGTGGACAACTCAAAAGATTCAAGGACATTTTCCATGAAAACTTAAAGGGGATTAACATGCAGAATATGAGTGGGAAGAAGCAGCTCACAATAGAACCGAATGGAGAAGAACTGTAAACTCAGTTAACAGCGACAACCAAAAAGTAAAGAGGCATCAAAGCAATGAGATTTTTGAATGACCGGAGTGCAGTAGGCAGATAACATCACGTATCGGGCTTTTCAGTCACAGAACAGCTCATGAAAGAAAACGCCTTGCGTGACCATATCTGATGCGTGTCGAATACTCGTCAGCGAGTAATGGCAGTATGTATGTATGTATGCATAGTTAACTTAAAAAATATTAGAAACATTTTTTAGTGAAATAAATGGATTGGTATGGAAGTCATCTGCTTTTTTTCTATCATCGTCTGTCGAAATCTTACCTGAGAAAAAAAACAGAGTTTATATTTTACAGCCTTCCTCTGGAATTCGCAACCATGCCACTGTTAATTTCAATACTGCCACAATATCCTTCTAGATTTACTACCTCTGAACAAAACTAAATGCAGTAGAATAAATAATAAATTACATAAAATAAGCTCAGAAGAGCGCAACAAATCCGCAAAATTTCAAATCAAATTCAAATGTGTCAATTGAAACGTCAAACAGAACTGTCAAAAATGGGGTTTCATGATGTCGATTCTGTCCCTAGTGCATTAATACTTGCATATAGCATTATACTCTTTCCCTAATATTTTTTTATTCAAAGTTAACTTAACGAAAAATAGCATATTTTGTTTGTAGAAAATGTTATTTTACTGTTGTGTGACACACTTTTTCCTCTATCGAGGTTGAATAATGCACGGAGACATGCAACACCTTTTTTTATTGAACTAGAATGTCTGTAATGCACGAAACATAGGTCGTTAATAAGTTATTTAAATATACATAAAGGCTTGGCGCTATATAAAAATGAAAGAAAACAGTTGTTAATAATTTGGTTATCATTAATACAGGGTGAGTCCTAAATAAGTGCTGATGTTTTTAGGGATGTTATATTTCGATCCCAGGAACACGTGGATGGATATTTTTTTTCTTTTTTTTAATTTTCAGTTAAATTACATAATATCTTCCTAATATGGCAACATAAATAACAAACAAAAAAATGCTTAACGTTTCGGAAAGTTTATCTCTTGCCATCGTTGGAAGCAAAAAAAAATACAAAGAATAAAGAGAAAAAAAAATTATTTATTTTTTTTCAAAAATTTTTTTTTGTTTTTTTTTTATTTTAAATAGTTTTTTTCTTTATTCATTTTATTTTTTTTGCTTCCGACGAAGGAAATAGATAAACTTCCCGAAACGTTAAGCATTTTTTTGTTTGTTAGGCAAATTTTTATAACTATAAACCTAACTTCTGACAAGTAGTTTCCGTTTGGGTTTAACGCAGAAGTGTTTACAAAAAATAACTATTTTATTTTGTAGATTTTCTTGCAGTGGCGAATTACCCATATAGGATTTTTTGGAGAGATGAATCCGCCACATAGGTATAGACATTTCTTACTCTTGATTGTGTGAATAAACACCAAAACAATTGATGTTTCTATTTGAATAATAAAAGTATTTTTACAGGCTTACCTTACATTTGCCTATTTTTTTAGTTTTGTCAGATGTTGACTGTTTTGAGTAAAATCTCAAATGAATTAGATAACATAAAAATTAAATCAGCTGATCTGTATAAATGTAGGTCAAACGTTGACTATTTACATATCTAATAGAGGGCGCTGATTCTAAACTGTTTAAAAACTGCTATAATTGTTCAAAATTTAGCTCCATTATTTCAGTTTGCTAAACTGTTAAAAATGTATCTAAAATATAGTAGACGTTGTTGCACTATACTTAATAGTAATCTACAATGATTAAAAAATCAACAGTGAATAAAATTAATTTAATGAATAAAGTTTTATTTGAAAAACGGAAAAGAAAAAAATATAGAGCTTTTTATCGAGATCTACCAGCCCTGAAAATATTTGCACTTATTTAAGACTCACCCTGTATAGTAAAACAATAGTTATTTATGATATAAGTGCTAAAAGTGGTATTTTATTTTGTGAGAAGGGAAGCTTACACAAAATAAAATCACTTTTAGCACACATATCATACACTATTTTTTCTACAAACTAGTTTATGCTCGTATATATCAAGGTATTATTACTTTTTACGTTAATGAATAATTCGTAATATGTCATTCTGAAATCAAATTACATAATTAATTTATGTAATTTGATTTCAGTTTTATATAAAGTTTATGGTTGCTAGGGTAATTGAAACGCTTCAGTGTTAAAAGTAAATCGTGTGACATACTTTTAGCACAAGTGGCTATATAAAAGTAAATGACTTTTACCATCAGTGACATAATGTCACATTTTAGGCACTGACAGCATGCATTAAAAATTACATTTTTACTGACGTTTGTAGAAAAAAGCTATTTATGTATAAAAATAATTTATTTAATAACATTTCAAGAAAATCGAAATAAGTTCTTACGTTCGTAGACACGAAACAAGATAAAGCTATTTATAATACTATTTTTTCAAAAAAAATGAGAAAATCAAACAGAACTCGGATCTTCACGTCGTCGTCACTTCAGCCTCGTAAGCTTTGTTCGTTTCACCGCTAGGTGGCGATTTTGTCTCTTTCTTCTCTCCCTCGTCCCACCACTGTCTCTCTGTCTTGCAGAAAACAATGAAGAACAGTGCGGTACTGGCTATAATTACGGCAGCTGTGATGAACATTATCCTCCATAGTTCTTTGTCAGTCTGAAAAATCAAAAATCATACAAAGTGTTACTTAATGATATGCTAATATTTAAGGAGGTGATTCTTGGACATATTTTAAGAAAAACCAATTAATCTTTTAGTTACGTATAGGGCGCGATTTTTAAATTCATTGTGACCAACCATGGACATATTCAGCGCCGGGCTGACTTAGTGGAATTTAAACTTCTCGCTGCGGATTGAGGTGGTAGCTCTGCTGTAAAAAATGCCAAGTCGCCACATTTATTTATTGATTTCCTGACATTGTCAATTCGTTTTGACACGTTAGTTTTGTATTACGAGTTTGCGAAGTGTACAAGATAGCTTAATAGCCATGTAAAAACCTCATCGCAACTTTATTAGAATATTTTGAACGGAAAAGTGATAGTAATGGTCCTTTATGTCCCTTAAGTGCGGAGGTGAGTTTTGTTGATGTAAATAATAACTGTTTATATATTTATAATTAATTTATTTTTGTTTACTAAAATATATTGAATAAAAGAAAATGTGTATTTTATATGTGTTTATTTTTTTTACTTAAGAGAAGTCAGTGGAGTACCATTTTTTCTTTAAAAATATTCAATATAAAACCCGCATGGACGTCACTGATTGAAATAAATAAAATTATTTGAACATCAAAAAAATTGGTTGATATGCTTCTCCCTTAATATTTGTATTCAAACTTGAATGTACAGGGTGAGTCAACGATAGAGTAAAGTCCATTATCTCATTTGTTTCGAAGTTTACAAAAAAAATGTTAAATATAAAAGTTATAGGGAAGGTTAAGATACATATCTTAAAATTATTATGGAGTATACAACGTGGTTCAAAAATATGTAGCAGCTATAATGCCGGGTCCAGACTAAGCAGACAAAACAACGACAATACAGAAATATTTATGTTTTACGACAAAATTACGACAACTCCAATACATTTCTGCGACATTTTTGTCTCGTTTTTGTTTTGTTTCAAAATTCGGAGACTTTTCAATGTCCCGTCTCGAGTCGGTAAAGGTCAAAGTGTCTATGTTTTGTTCGTATATTTTACGACAAATTTGCGATGTGGACAGTTTGTCTCAAGTTTGTCTTGTCAGAATTCCCCATTTTTGTCACAAGTTTGTCTGTTTTTGTCTCAAAATTGTGTTAACCCGGCGTAAACCTGGCATAACATATGTTTTTTTTTAAATGCAACACCCTATTTTTAATTTTATTATTAGATTCTTCAAAATATATTTATGAATTTTTGCAACTTAAAAATGTCAAATTTTTTAAATGGCACACCCTATATATTATCATTTTTTTCTGATAGATTTGACAAAACTCTTCAACTTTTATTAAGTATATATAAGTCATATATGTATCTTAACCTTTTCTATAACTTTTATATTTAACATTTTTTTTGTAAACCTCGAAGCAAATGAGATAATGGACTTTACTCTACTGTCAAGACTTAATAAATGTCAACTTGGGTTTATATCAAATTGGGAAAAATCATGTAAAATATAACTCTAGTGAATCAATTTGATGTAGGCCCAGGAGATCGGTTACCTGCACGACATCGACCCAGACATGTTTTTAAATAATAACAATTAAAATACAACAATCTCAGGTCGATAATATAATCAAACTCAGGTTACCGAAATTCGATTTCCTCATGGTCATAGCCTGGTGAATGTAATTAAATGGAAAAATATTGAACGACGTAACCAGCGATGACCACGAGGGATAGAAAATGCTAAGGAAGATGCTGTTGTAAGTACTCCTCTCAGCATACTCTGTACACTGTTTAGTCTTGACATTTCCAAGAATTGTATTTACATTTCCTAAATCATTGTATAACTTATGCTAAATAAATGTATTTTTCCTATTGGTTGTTTTGATTAAAAGAGAGAACCTGGTATAAGCGATCCTAGCAAACATCCCCCAAGCTAGGCCGCGACACTATCGTTGACTCATCCTGTAAGTTACTAGATTTTTTAATACTCACCAAGTCTACTACAACGAAATGTACCAAAATTGGTGCTAAAATAGCGACGAGCTGTCCGGCACCGTTGGAAAATCCCATCAGAACGCCAGCGAACCTGGGAGAAATATCTACCGGGTTTATTAGATGACCACACACCACAGTCGATCCGGATCCCACGGTTATGGTCAGTACGCAAGCGATCGAAGTCACGTCGTCCAGATAGGGCAGAACTAGCAAGCCGACGGTTAAGGCTAGGGAACCGTACCCGTGGAAGAACCTCCTGGAGTTAATTTTGGAGATGTAGCCTCGGTTCACCGCAAAACTAGCTAATGGGCCACATCCTAGGGTTACTATCAAGCTGGCCACCGTAGGTAACGCTGTAAAGACGCTGCTCTGAAAGTAAAAGAGTAATTTTGAGTAAAGGAAGAAATAAAGAGTAATTAAGAATAACAGACTGGCGATAAAGATCATGAAACAGCCTGGGCCCGAATTCTGTAACTTAGAAAACGCTAAGCGCTTTTAGACGCTACCAATTTGGGTATTCTCATTTGATGCGCTTAGCGTTGTTATCCATTGAGCTAAGCGGTTCGAAAACGGCTACCTTAAAGCTGAGGCCACAGTAGCAAGCAAGTTACCTGGAGGTTAGTGGGTATCGAGGCGCCAAGGCGACCCTCCAAGTAACCCGCAAGGTATGTTTCCGTAACATGCGATTTTAACCAAACCAGCCGCAGTGCAATCCCCCACCAACTTAAGCCACAAAGCAACTCGCCAAGCGAGCCACTTGAGGATCAGTCGTGTTCGATATTTTTAGCCAGGCGCCTGGGCGTTTTGGTCTAAAAATGGAAGAAAAATTGTAATGCACATGTACAAGCGTTGTTCTCCAGAAATTGCTTCTCTGAAGTTTGTAGACGTCCTTTCTAATTTGTCTTGAACTTTATTAAGTAGAAAATCAAACGATTTTACACTCATACGTGCATAATTAAAAAATTTGTCAGGGTAATTTCGCATTTTCTTGTAAACTCGCAAAAATTCTCCATCATGGTTTCTATGCAAGTTATACTCATGCACCTACATCATCTTATTTTCCATATTTACAAAGTTCACATAAGAAATGTCACAGAGCAGAAGCCTTCTGGCAAATTTTGAAAGGGGCATGATACTAAAGACACTCACGGGAGCTACAATTTGCAACTGGGCCCGTATTCTGTAACTTTGAAAACGCTAAGCATTTTTAGACGCTCAGCCTATTTGACGTTAATTTTCGCTGATCGTGCATTTAATTAACGATTTCGGTATTCTCGTCTGACGCGCTTAGCGTCTTTACTGATTGCGCTGAGCGCTTTGAAAACGGTTGCCTTAAAGGATCGAAAAATCGAAAAAATTGTGATTTTTTGCGTTAAACTTGTTTTGCGTTTTAATTACTCTTTAGTGAAAATTCCTACTTCTTCTATAAATTCCTCAATAAGTAATTGATAATTTACGACTTGGCAGCTATAAATATTGTTCAAAACAGCGAAAATGCTGAGAGCGTCTTCAACACTTCCCTCGTATAATAAGAATAATGACATATCCATAGAAAAATAGCTTGACATAACTCAACAATAGGTTATGAAATTCACGTAACATTGACATTTTTCATTGTTACATCCGTCAGTTATCAACTTTTGACTATTACCTATATTAGAAATTGTGATGTTGCCAATATGTGCTCAACGCATATCCAGAACACGATTCGCATGGCAACAAGAATACCAAAATCGACTGCCTTGCGTTTCGGTTATCGAATACTTGTGCTCACCGCTTTGAAAGCGTAACGTTTTTATGTCAAAGTTACAGAATACGGGCCCTGAACTTGATTAGATTGGTTATTGTTTTAATAATTTTCCGTCCACTACTGCGTGCAAGGTATATTTACCCTCTACCCATTAACCTTCACCCTCTACGCGACAAGCTTTCCTCCATCCGTCTATAGTGCGAGCTTGGCATAAAGGATACTTTTTCTTGTCGAACTGTCATATCAGTGAAAAAATTGTGATTTTGTGCGTTCTCTTGCGCTTTAGTGAAACTACTTCTTCTATAAATTCCTCAATATCTAATCCATAATTTACGACTTGGCAGCTGTAAAATTGTTTGAAGCATCGAAAATGCCGAAAAAGTTCTTCAACATTTCCCTCGTATAAGAAGAATAATGACATATCCATAGAAAAATAGGTTGACATAACTCAACAATGGGTCATGAAATTTACGTAACATTGACATTTTTCATCGTTTTTTCCACATTAAATTTGACTGTTAGTAAACTGTTAGATACCTACCTAAGAAATTGCGATGCTGCCAATATGTGCTCAACGCGTATCCTGAAAACGATTCGCGCGGCAACGAGAATACCAAAATCGACTGCTGGGCGTTCCGCTAATCGAATACTTTCGCTTACCGCTTTGAAAGCGTAACGTTTTTATGTCGAAGTTCCAGAATTCGAGACCAGAGCAAATAATCATCAACATCATCATCATCATTCTCAGGTTATTCAACCATTTCCAATTATGGTGTAGCCTCTCTCACATATTTAGATACTCTCTTTGTAGTTGGGCCCATTGCTATCTATTGTTGGCTCTGCGTTCCCAAGTTATCCATGCTAATTTCCTAATATCATGGTCCCATCTCAGGTTTTGATCTTCTTCTAGGTTTCTTAATTCTTCGTAGGTACCATACTGTAATGTTTGTGGTCCATCTATTTTCCGTTCTTCTTGCTAGGTGTCCTGCTCATTGCCATTTGAGAGATTTGATTCTGTGGACGACATCTATTACCTGGGTCTTTTGTCGTATCCACTTTATTCTTTTACGGTCTTTTTTGGTTATTCCCAGCATATTTTGTTCCATTGGCCGTTCTGAGACTTGCAGTTTCTTTATGATGCCCGTTTTAAACGTTCAGGTTTCGCAGGCATAGGTTATGACTGGTAGTACACATTGGTCGAATGTTTTCTTCTTTAGATAAAGAGGTATTGTAGATTTGAATATGATTGAGTTTCTTCATGCTATCCTAGTTCTTCTGTTGATTTCTGGTAGAAGAGATCCCGAGCTGTGTATTAGTTGTCTTAAATATATATATTCTCCTACCTAAGGTCTATCTATTTATATTATTCGTATTAAATATTAATAACTTTCAATACTGAAGAGGCAAATATATTATGAAATAGATTCGCTCAAAAACTTATAACAAACTTCAATCATTTCTTAATCTAAGGATTTTAATTAATAGCCTAAATATTTTATTTTTCATAGAACTTCTTTTAATATTGTAAAACCCAAAGGATTACAAAAACTTATTTGCAATTCTTAGAAATTCCCAGCAAATCACAATAAGTATTTTTAATTAAATTTAGATAAGGGTATTATTATAATCCTATTATTATGTCTGGGCCGAATAAAAGAAAGTGGGTTTAAAATATATGTGTGTTTATTTATAGGAGTATATTAATCTTAGAATGCCACTTTATCTAAAGAACAAAACATTCGACTATGCATGACGTATGCATGCGAAACCTAGACACTAAAACGGACACTATAAGGAAACTACAGGTTGCATAACATTCAATGGAACGAAATATGCTGGGAATAACCTTCGTAACCTTATTCGTAAAAGAATAGGGTGGATACGACAAAAGACCCAGGTAATAGATGTCATCAAGAGAATCAAATCCCACAAGTGGTAATGGACACTTGGCAAGAAGGACGGACGACAGATGGGCTACGAGGAATTAAGAGAACCTAGAAGAAAACCAAACCTGAGATGGGACTATGATATTAGCCAACAATAGACAACAATGGGCCCAATTAAAAAGAGAGTATCTAAATATGTGAAGGAGGCTACACCATAATTGGAAATGGTTGAATAAGCTGAAAATGATGTTTGGAGTAGAGATTCCAAGACACTCTATATTGAATACTCAGATAACTGTTATACCTAAAGAATGTTCAATTTATTTTAGAGTGAATCGTAGCGTAGGTTGAATATTCAAACAAGGCTCATCAATTATATTCTATGGTGCTGCAAAAGCAACTATTACAAAAATGACCACAACACATTCGATGACAAACAAGTCTCTAGATTGGAGAAAAAAAATCACCAGGGCAGAGACAGGTGAAACAGTTCATAGTAGAACATTTAATAAAATTTACAACAGACTTGAAAAGCAAAGACAGAAAGCCTTCAAATCTGTAGTAGTTCTACTAACCGGATATTGTATGCTTAATATGCATCTTAAGCTGATGGGATATATGGACGAAGCCATGTGCAGTTTCTGTCAATCAGAAGAACAAATAGCTGAACATATTCTCCATCAGTGAGATGGCAATTATACAATTTTTTATAATGGACTATGACAAGTTAAAATTCTATATGAAAGTTTTAGTATCAAAGTTATTAAAGTTTTTGAAAAGAATAGGACTGTCCTTTAAAATTTAAAATAACTGTAGAGATTATGAATTCTTTGGTTACTCTGACCATGAGATTGTAGTTTTTTCTGACTAATAGTTACATAGTGACTTTTAACGGTAGGTACTATTCAATTAAAAATTCATAGCAGAGTTATACTTGCCTTTTGTATATCCAATCCAATCGCATAGCTTAAATATGTTGGTAGTTCCGAGTTGAGCAAAGTACTACCCCACGACTCTCCTATGGCAGCAATTACAATGGACCAGTACGGTAAAGATGTCAAGATGGCGCTCCAGGGAATATTCCTCGTACTTACCTAGAATTTAGTGTTTTATTGAAACATTTTAAACATTACTATACCTAAATCTAATCCCTCATATTCTCTATTAGCCTTATAACAGAGTGTTTCAAAAAACATGTGCCATCTCTCGTGATATATTTTTTATATCAACATTCTGTCCAATTCTGCTTTGTTTTGTAGCTACAGGAGCTTAAAGTCTTAATTCTTTTTCGATTTATTATCATTTTCTTCCAAGTACTTTTAGCGATTCAAATGAAACTTGGAGGGTAATCACACAAAACCTGGAAGAAAATTATAATAAATCGAAAAAAGATTAAGAATCGAAGCAGAATCGGATCTATGTTAATATAAAAAATAAATCTTATTTTTACGAGAGGAATCTCCCCACGAGAGATGATACATGTTTTTTGAAACACCCTGAATAGCATACCGGGTGGTGCATCGGCATTGGAAACAGTGGAAATCCCAAGCAAATTTTGAACTGTTCGAATATTGGCCCCCCTGTTGATTTTACAGCGAAGTCATAAATAAGTTTATTAGAGGTCTGTGCACGCTGAATATGCATGTCAAATTTGAACAATTTTGGACAAGCCGTTTTTTAAGTAATTTAAGAAAAATTGCCCCTTCTATTTTTATGATAAACCTGAACACCTAACAATGCAAAACTAGGCAAATGTCAACATACCTGAAATTGTCAACGTTTGATTGATGCAATTTGTTGTTGCTGTAATATTAACACAGATTTATCAGTAATATGGAGAAACTAAATAAAACAAGAATACATTCCGTCCCTTTAAATAAAGGGACCGAATACAAAGCGCATGAGCATGATGTATTGCTACAAAAAAGCTATGCCACAGATTAAATATTATTTCAATTGGGAATAATTTTTTTACAAAAATCAACAATGCTTTCGAGAAAAAATACGAAGTCTACAACGACAGAGCCTTTTTAAAGGTCTGAGGTCACGGCGGCGTTTATCAGCAAGATGAAATAAGTGCCACATCTGTAAGTTAATTTGTGAGGGTACAATATTAATAGTACCAACGGTTGGTGTGCCTGATATGCATTTTTGTAATTCAATTTAAAAATAGATGCAGTTTTTCTTAAATTAGTTAAAAACGGCTAGCCCAAAATTGTATTAACATTTAAACAAAAAATCATTTTTATTGGAAATTTTCAAAGTAAAATAACTCCGTTATTTTGGACTGATTTGAAAAACCATAAAGAGAAAATATGTTTCTTTTATCGAGATCTACAACCACTTAAAATACTTGCACTTATTTCTGGGACACCCTGTATATCTTCTCGCCTAGTATTTTCAAAGTCACTTGAAATGATTTAAGACTCTTAAGTTGTTTGTTTGTTGTTGGCAGTGTCGAAATTAAGAGCCTCAAATCAATCAACTGACTTTGATATACACCGACCGTTATCAAATTTACGCTTGATAACGGTCAGTGACACATGTGACCAAAACGTTGTGTAAAGTTTCAAAATTATAGACAGTTGCAATCCTAGAAGTTTTTTATATGAATCAAATATTACAGGTAATATCATCACCGTCTTAATGTGCTATAAAAAACAACAAGCGACTCAATCATCACTTATCACAATACTATGATCATTGTTTCGCATATACTAAAAATTATTAAATAATAAATAAGAAAAATTTCCAAAGATAAACAAAATTGATGATGACGAAATTACCAGAATGAGAAGCAATATCTATCACCATGATAATTATAAATTAAGGTTGTTAAAATGATTATCATTCAAGCCATAATTTCCTATATATTGGCCATTAAACTTTAATAAAATAATAAAATTATTGTAATTATATTCCTTCATGTTAAATAAAGAATTTTCGTATTTTAAATTTATGTTCACCTTAAGATTTCAACCCAATTTTTCACCCAATATTCTATCTAAACTCCCAAAATTCTAAGTTTAATTACTGTTTACACACATTATTATTTGACACATATTGTAATACCATAAATAATTTTATTTCTAAATTAAATAATCGTTTTCCTTCTATTAAATTCACCTATGAAATTGAGAACAACAATAGATTACCATTTCTAGATGTATTAGTTATTAGAAATACTAATAACTGTCTGGAACTTTATATTTTTCTTGACATTTTCCTAAAATTAATGAAAAACTTTTGAGTGCCGCTTGTTCAGTTTCCGAAAATTTGTTTAGAGAGAATGCCATGTTGCCACCTCCTGCATTATCCACATTCTGTATGTTTATAAGTTATAAATTGACATTTTAAAATTTCTACAAAAAAAAATACTAATACTTGAATTAATTTTATTCACTGTAGACTTTTTAATCACTGTAGATGACTATTAAGTATAGTGCAACGTCTACTATATTTTAAGTACGTTTTTTTACAGTTTAGGAAATTGAAATAATGAAACTAAATAATGAACAATTATAGCAGTTTTTCAACAGTTTAGAATCAGCGTCCTCTGTTACATAGGTAAATAATCAACATTCGACCTACATTTAAACAGATCAGCTGATGGAATTTTTAGGTTATCCAGTTCCATTTGAGATTCTACTTAAAAAACAATAATCTTCTGACAAAATTAAAAAAAAGGTAAATGTAAGATAAGCCTGCAAAAATACTTTTATTATTCAAATAGAAATATTAACTATTTTGGTGTTTATTCACAAAATCAAGAGTGTGAAATAGAAAAACAGAAGAGTATAAATTCTCAAAAAATAATCCTAAATAATTCAGATCGCATATGAATGTACAGCTGGTTTCAAAAAAAATGAATACGACTCTTTACACATCCTTTTCGAATATTTGAGCAGTGTATATTTATGTGTCAAGTATTTTGACATGTTAAGGTTATTGTGACATTGTATAAAAAACAACTTTGCTTTTGACAAAGTGGCAAATAAATTTTTCAGAACGTCAGCATGACATGAGTATAGAAATGGGGGACTGGTATCATAGAATATACTGCCCGAAATAATAAAAATATGTTTTAAATCGTACTCAATTTTATTGGAACCATCTGTACTTTGTGCCAAATACAAGTATAAGTGTAGTGTTGTCAAGAATCGCAGTGAAATGAAGTGTTGTTAAGTGTATAGAGTTGTGGTTTTAGATAAAGTGATAAAACGACGTTTTAACCTAATTACATCGATCTTCTATCTATCGGAGTCCTGTTTTCTAATGTTAGGTAAGTTTTTTATTTTTAATCTGAATTTTCCAAGTCGTTTTTAATTTTTTCTAGTTGATGTGTCAATACTGGTAATTGCTTGGTATTCGCGGCTGATTATCGACTGCTGCCGGCAAAAAAACAATGGCAACATTAATTTTCAAAGTTAAATAACTCTGTTATTATAAATTTATTTTAAAAACGGTAAAGAGAAAATATGTTTCTTTCGGCCAGATCTACAACCTCTTAAATTACTTGCACTTTTTTTTTCTCGGGCACCCTGTATAGTGCTCTTAATTTGCACGGAACGATATATCCTAGGTTTCGTAGCGAAATATAAAAAATCTTACTAAGTCGTCAGTGTGTTGCCCTAATGACTGTTGGATGTACGTTTTCTCTATATGGGAGATCTTCGTATGATGAGCTGGACTTTCTGCACTGTACAGCAGCCAAAAGACGCACCACACTATACCCAGCGAGCCAAAAAAGTAAAAGGCTGCCGGCCATCCCCAGGAAGATGCGGAAAAATAGCCAGTGATGATGTAGGACGAAATACTACCCACATAGACACCTGAAAATTGATTAGGTTAGGTCTATGCATTCAACAGTTTTATACAGAGACTTTGTTATCTATTTTTTTTTTGGAAAAAATCAATGAATTTTTAAAGTTAACTTTTTTTCCATACACTCGGTCCCTTAGAACAAAATATACTGTATTTCAAAATATGTATTTGAAACTTTAATGTGCCTTTTTTATGTTCTGGTGACTGCACACAGGGTGTCCAGAGTCATATCATATCAGCATATCTCCGGATAACATTTTATAGCATTTTAAAACAGCAAAAAATATAACGTTAATTAAAACTCTACCAATAACAATCAAAGAATGAAAACGAAATTATACCTATTCAATTATATTTTTACGGTTTTTAGGGTTCCGTACCCAAAGGGTAAAAAGGGGAACCCTATTACTAAGACTTCGCTGTCCGTCCGTCCGTCCGTCTGTCACAAAGGTCTATCAAATGAACCGTTATAGCTAGACCGTTGAACATTTCACAGATAATGTATCTATGTTGCCGCTATAAGAACAAATACTAAAAACAGAATTAAATAAATGTTTATAAATAAAAAAGTACTTTCACTAAACATTATCTTTTAAGTAAGAATTTTACATAGAATCTTTCAAGCCCTCGGTGGCCGCGTGGTTAAAGCGTTAGGAGTTTACGCTGCTATGGCGTTGGAGCCGTAGTAAGGTAGGTTTGAATGCTAGTCAATGCGACTTTTTTTTAATCGTTTTTTTTTAATTTTTAAATATTAATTTTTACTTTTTACATATTTATTATTGATTAATACAATTTTTAGTAATGTGTTTCTTCATTTTTTTTTAATTACTTATACGCGCATTCACAATTTCAGCTAAATCGGAAAAAAAGTTTATAATAATATAGTGTCTAATGTTGTATAGATAATGAATGGTACGGAACCCTTCGTGCGCGAGTCCGACTCGCACTTGAACAATTTTTTTTAATTTTCTCTAAAACGGTATGAAAATTTGGAAAAATATAAACGGCGTTAACCATTTTAGAAGAAGCTAACATTTTTATGAAGAACGAATTTTTCTTAAAATGGCATTAATAAAAGAGTTTTTTCTCTTGTGAAGATAATCCGGAGACATACTGTATATAATATTTTTTTATATGTTACAACCGGGTGTTATACCGGGTGCGTCTTAAAAGTAGCTCACTCCTATCACTTTTTTATTTTATCGAGCGAGCAATTTGTTACAAAACCATATATATTATATATCACTGTAATCACAAAACTTCAATCTTTATCGGTATTGTAACGGAATTTTAAATTATTTATTTATTTTCGAGAAAATTTAGACCAAACATAAGGTATATTTTGTTGATGCTTGACCATCAAAATCTTAAAAATAAAGAAGTAATATCTGAAAATGTGCTACAATATCGACATAGTATAATCCTTTATCTTTAATTTCCTTCTTCATTTGTGTAAAAATAACTAGCCAGTTTTACATAAAACGTTAAATACTGAACGCTTATTTTGCTACTTTTTCGGACTAGCGAAATGAACTCTTAAAAAGAGAAATTTTAATAATATTAATTAAAAAGAAACAAATTCGGGCATCTCTATATTCATGTTTTTTTTTTCATTATGTTTTTGACTAGTAAACTTACCAGTGAACACTACAGAATTAAGGGTTGACGTTTCCTTGATAGGAGCCCATCTGCCCAACATGTTGCTTACAAGGGGTATCATAAACCCTTGGAACAGACCTTGCATTATTCTGCAGGCCATGACACCGCTACCTCCTAGAAGGGCAGCACTAAAGGGAATCTGAAATATTTCAAAATATATTAATAAAATTGTTTACTGCAACCTTATTTGTATGTGTATCAAAATGTGTATAGTTTCTAAAAAAGCAGATAATGATATGAATCAAAGAACATTTCATCGATAAAGGATTACCTACACCTGAAACTGAAACACACGGAAGTTTAATTTTACTGCTTCATTTTCAATAGGTCGTTAAGATTTTAATGGTAAAAAATATCTTTTGTTTCTTACTATATAAAAATCAAATAATCAGTATTTGTTAAGAAGCAAGACACATGTAAAGACTGTTCAGCCATCAGTTACGTCATCATTATTTGTCAAATATGAATTTTAGGGTGTGTCTGAGATCAGTTCATATTGTTTAGAAAATTTTAAGTACGTTCCTATACAGGGTTTCTCACCGTAGCCGTTCTTTAGAAGTTTTTGAGGTTAGGAAAAACTTAGAAGTTTGAAATTTTGAGACTTAGGGTTATTTAAAATTTCCTTTCACTTAAAAATATTTTCAAGGTCATACCACTTCCGGTTACACCGGAAGTCGCCATTAACTTCCTTATTTCAAATGGAACACCCTGTATATTATTTAATTTTGGGATTTCTCAGAAAATTTTATGATGAGTTTCATTAGATTTCCCTATACCTATTTTCAACTGTTTCTCAGATATCGTGATTTATTTGAAAATTTTTACATTTTACCCTTATTTTTAACAGTGGGTGTTTTACTCATTTTGAATTGGTGATAAACGCTCCTGCGGTAAACTGGAGCAGAGTCGAAGTCTATATTGACAACTAATTTATCTCATACAGGGTGTCCAAAATTCGATAACTGATTAGATTATTTTCAAACTCAAAAAAGTCCATTTTTTCAAATGAGACACCCTATATATTTTTCGATAGTTGGATGCAGAATTCAATTCTGTATCGATTTGCTATAACTTTTCCTATACACATTTTCAACGGTTTTCTTTTTAATCCGTATATTTTACTTTAATTCAATTTTTGGCAGAATCGACAATATCGTTTGTATTTTTTAAAATAAAATAATTATGTTAAAGTAATGAAATTGAATGTAATTAGAACATACGAACAAAACAGGAACAAAACGAAAGTGAAAACGTATAAAATATAACATAACATAACAAAACAAACGTATAACAGTAACGGTGAGGCATTATATTAACACTAGATGTTAGTGTATCGCTACCATAATAAAAAAACGTAAACACAATAATTACAAAAATTATTGTTCGAAGTGGCCGCTATGAACGAAATTTTTTGTAATTATTGAGTTAACTTTTTTTATTATTGTAGGGATAAACGTCTAGTATTAATAATTAATGCCTCACCGTTACTGTTGAAAATACGTTTGTTTTGTTATGTTATGTTATATTTTATACGTTTTCACTTTTGTTTTGTTCCTGTTTTGTTCGTATGTTCTAATTACATTCAATTTCATTACTTTAACATAATTATTTTATTTTAAAAAACACAAACGATATTGTCGATTCTGCCAAAAATTGAATTAAAGTAAAAAATACGGATTAACAAAAAAACCGTTGAAAATGGGTATAGGGAAAGTTATAGCAAATGGATGCAGAATTGAATTCTGCATCCAACTATCGAAAAATATACAGGGTGTCTCATTTGAAAAAATGAACTATTTTGAGTTTGAAAATAATCTAATCAGTTATCAAATTTTGGACACCCTCTATGCAATAAATTAATTGGCAATATGGATTTCGAAAGTATTAGTCCTCTGCTTCAGTTTACCGCAGAAGCGTTTATCGCCGATTCAAAATGAGTAAAAGACCGACTGTTAAAAATAGGGGTAAATCTGTAAACATTTTCAAATAAATCAAGATATCTGATAAACAGTTGAAAATAGGTATAGGGAAACCTAATAAAACTCATCATAAAATTATTTTAGAAATCCAAAAATAAAATAATATACAGGGTGTTGTATTTAAAATAAGGAAGTTAATGGCGACTTCCGGTGTAACCGGAAGTGGTGTGACCTTGAAAATATTTTTAAATGAAAGGAAAGGTTAAATAACCCTAAGTCTCAAAATTTCAAACTTCTAAGTTTTTCCTAACCTCAAAAACTTCTAACGAACGGCTATGGTGAGAAACCCTGTATTATTAGAGAACAACGGCATACGGTCGAGTCGGCCGCTGCTGGCACGTGGACGTAGACGTAAAGAATCTTTTACGTGTATAAAAAATAAAAATATAAGAAATGCGCATGCGTACGTAAACGTTTACGTGTTTGTAGGCCGACTCGACCGTATGCCGTTGTTCTCTATTGACTGAGCGAGTTCCGTTTGTTTTGCATTTATTCATATTTTATTGAACTCTTCATCAGTTAGGATTCCTTCAATTCCTATCTTTTAGACTGTAAATTTTTATTACTAAAGCATTAGCAACTCGCTATATTATTTAAAAACGCTATCAATTTGTATTTTACATAGAAATAGGCAACGGCCTAGCTGCGTCGAAACACCGGTTCCCATTAGAACACCGAAGTTAAGCGACGTAAGGCGATACTAGTGGATTGACGGATGACCGGTTCGAAACTCTGTATCGTGCTGTTGTCCAATAAAGGCAAAAATGTAAAATCTATTGACAAAGACTGCTCATTCACGCCGCACAGTGCTTCGAACATATGGCTCTAGAGGACAAAAATGCAAAACTTCTCTTTTATTGTAGGCAATTTATTCGGACTATTTAGGTTTATTTGACACAAATGATGAGTACTCTCATTGTACTAAATGACGATGTTCTTAGTCCCACGTTTATGAAAAAAAAATCTTATAAATAATAAAAATGTTGGAGCTGTGTTCCATCTAAGGAAATAATAATTCATAGTATGAAAACGGTGTCAGTATTAAATAAATCCCTGTGATAAAAAAGAATTTAAATAACATTAGAACGTGATTCCTACAATATAAGATAAAAATGTTTTTCTTTAATGAAAAAGAAACGTTAATGTTATATTTAATTAAAACAAAACTTAAGATACTATAAATTTACTTTAGGACAACAAAATGCATAGATCGTAACTACTCTGATTCAGAAGAATCACTGCTGACAGAATCTTCCAAATTTATAGTATCCAAATCACAGGTAGATGAAGTATCCTCACATATATAAAATATTTCTGTACATCATTGTCTAATATGTTACTTTTTCGCGTTGTTAGTTACTTTTGTTTGGTTTGGTTTTAAGGGGTATGAGGTTTGGTATGAGGGGTTCGGATGTTAATAGTTACCTCTTTAATAGACCATATTCATATATTATTTTTTCCTTTTCTTGGTTATGAGGTTTTATAATAAATTGAAAGATGGAAACTTTTTTATGCGACGTTTCGCTCCAACATAGTGGGCTTTTTCAGACACAAGTTGTGCCTCATTGGACTGGAAGGTTCATCAATGTCTAATAAAGAACACATTTTTTGAAATACAAATAATTTTGAGTTCTTGTCCTTATGATCAAGCCAAGTATTAACCAGATCGGCATTGCTTATCAATTTTACTCCATCTGAAAAGTATTATAAAATAAAGTTCGTCGCAAGCAGACGCAGGTGAACTATACAAAAATTAAAAGTGTATGAATATGACAACAAAAATATTCAATAAATACGATATGTTTTGATATGTTTTTTTTAAATGCCTTTTTGAAGTTTGAAAACGTAAAATTTTTATATCCATTTAAGAATCATCTTAAAAAATAAATAAAAACTAAACAATCACGAACTTGTTTAGAAATAAATTTAAAGTACATACCTTGTTTAACAATATCCATAGTGGCTTTCAATTTAAGTACGTACCGTTTAACTCCATAATATACAGAACTACTATGAATGTTATTCTTTTCACTGATAAGATAATGATCGCAAAATTTATTTTTAGTGAAAATATTTGCTAACAAAAAACGCTGTTTATGAAAAATAATATACATGATGGTTGGACATTGCTATAAGTATAAAATTACATATTCACATATTAGTAAATTTTAACTTTTTTTCGATTTTTGTCCATGGGACGAAGCACTGTGCGCCGGTTCGAGGCCGGATGAGATCGGATATCTCGTGAGTAAGAGTTGATTTAGACACTTGTCAAGTCGGTAGACCATTGACCATGATATGGCCGAGGACCGCGGTTCGGATTCCGCGTAAACAAAGTAAACCCCGTCCAGATTAGCCCTGGCAGCAGAAAGGAGACGTTAACTGAAATCTTTACTTTACTTTACATCTTTACTTTACTTTACATCTTTACTTTACTTTACATACACCTTTGCATTGTACTTACTTCATATACGGCGGCGTACACGAGCAAGAGTGCTCTACCAGCGTCTCTTTCTTGAGAAAAAATAATTTATAAGCTTAGCAATGAGCTCTTGTTCATTTTGGTTAAATATTTGAGGCATTTTTGCAATAAAAAATTTAAATTTCATTTTACAGCAACAATCAAATTTTAATTTCGACATTGATCGATGTCGGCCAATAAAATTCCAAATCAAACGACAATGACAATTACTAAAAAGAATATGCAGTATTTTACGAAATGTCGTAATGACGTTACCAATCTTTTTCATCCGGTTGGCAAGTGAGTGAGAGTGTTTGACAATATATGACGTGACGTCGAACGATTGCTGAACATTCTATAGCAATAAGTCGACTGTCAGCATGAAGAAAATTATATTTGTCTGAAATTTTTGTCGTGGAGTGTACTTTAGCAAACATTGACCTCGGTACAATAGCTAAAGTTTGTTTTAAAGGACGACTGCGATACACTGCACTCCAAATGGAATTTACATTACATAAAGTGTCCATAAGAGATATATTGGCCTCTATTAATTTTAGGCATCGATAAGAAATTAATTTATTAGGTAACCGTGCCTCGCCATTTTTAATATTTATTTATATATTTTTTTTAATAATTTTCTTTATTAATTTTTAATTCCTTTAAATAAAACCAATTGTAGAAAAGAAAAATAAATAACATAAATAAGCTCAGAAAAAAGCAACAAATTTCAAATCCGAAAAATTTCATAAGTTTTTTAAGATTGGAAAGTGCCCATAAGGATAATATAAATACTAGTTGGCGCTATTCTTACAACGGTCGCTCTCTAAGGCTTTTGATAATTTCGGAGCGGTTCGGCTTTTTCCGGAATTATGTCGCCAAATATTATTTATTCGATTATTATACCTATACTTACTTTAACAGCGAGGAAAGTTTAAAAACTTTATTTCTCCTAGCACGTTTTTTAATTGCTTCCATTTTTGAAGATTTTTGTATTCCTTTTCATAAGTTATTCGGGATTTAAATGGAAGTAGTTTGGATATGGCGTTTATCGCCGCAGCCTGAATATCTGTTGGTAATTTACTTATTTCGTTTTGAGCCAATTCTGGCTCCAATTCAATCAGCAATCGACACGAAAGAGAATTAAAAAATATTGACTCAAAACTGACAACTAAAGAGACAGTTTTATTTATTTGTCAAATTACATAGAAACCAACGCCAACCCAGCACAATATTTTTTCTACTAAATTCCTTGAAATAATAATTTCTGAAATTTTTTTAAAACGTAACTCGCTATGGAAAAATTTATTATACAAAATTTATTTGATTTAAACTTCGAAAAAAAAGAGTAGTAGCTAGATAATGGTGTATTTAAATGTTTTTTTTAATTATTATGGACTTTTTTACTTACTAATATACAGCAGACTGAGTTGACCAAAACGGTAGAAAAAAGGAACCATCTTGTGCCGAAGGTTTGAGCCAAGTGTCCCGCAAAAAATTGCAACGCTGCATAACTCCAGAAGAACGAGGAGATGATTATATTCTGATTCGTCCAAGTATACGTCTGCAAAAATTAAATTATTTATTTTAAAACTAACATATAAATAAAAAAAATAATATATAAACACCATACATTGATTCCAATTTCTTCAAAACCATTATTTAATATCATGCAATTTTATGGAGCATGCATTTTTATCATTGTACAGGGTGTCCCAGAAATAAGTGAAAATTTTTGAAAATACGAAAACTTTTGAAAAATTTTTTAGATTTTTTTTTAGTTTTTAGTTAAAAAACATAATTTCTTGATAATATGGCAACATAGGTATTAGATTAAATTTACAAGAAAGAAAATCCAGAAAGGTTCTCAACATTTTAGAAAAAATATTTTTTTTTTCTTTGAAATTTTCAAAGTAAAGTAACTCCGTTATTTTGGACTTACTTGAAAAACGATAAAGAGAAAATATGTTTCTTTTATCGAGATCTACCACCCCTTAAAATACTTGCACTTATTTCTGGGACACCCTGTATATAAAATTTGATTTAAAGTTGAAGGCAAAGAATCCAAATTAACTTGACAACCCTAAAATAAACTCCTCTGTGCACTTTAACTTTTAGTCTGGCTTGGCATAGTTTACATTTAATCATTCAACTTTGGTTTGGGTGTAGTATCTGGATATGAATATTTTGAAAACTTTCAGTTGGATTTTTCAAGTACCTACCTAATCTTTAACGGATTAAATTAATATACTTACTGGAACGTCTGGATTGCTAGAGATGTTTTTAGTCATGGCAACGATTGCTACGCTAAAGCAATTGCGGATGGCGAAGAGAAACAGCATCATGAAGAACAGAAGAGCTACTTGAACGTAGCGATAATACAGACATGATGAAGTTTCGTCTGAAATAAATAAAAATAAAAACAATTAAGCCAATAATATATTATTTGTAGGCAAAGCTACATTATTATTATCATAATTGTAGATTTTAGATTGCGGTCATGGGTTCGTTTGTATTTCCACTGGAGGAAACCAAATTACACTGAAACTAAAAGTATTAGGAAAATATACAAAAAAATACTGTCGAATAGTTAAAAATAAATAACCATATCGAATCAGGATAAACCCTAATTATTGTAATTAACAATAGTTAATAATTATTATAATTTCAATGTTTTACCAAAGAACACTTGATGAATTTTACGAAAATAAGGTATTTTATGTTTTGGGCTATTATTTTGTGATAAAATATAAAAAATTGAGGAAGTTATTATATACACTGTGTCAATTTTAAAACTTCCCACCATTAATATCTTTCTTGCAGTTAAAATTATGAAAAATAGGAAAGACACGTCAATTTTATTTGTAAGGGGGATACCTTAAATGAATATTTTTAGCCTTTTTCGTTCAACCTCCTAGGAGGGGTAGATGTCACCCTTACAATCTTCAATGAGAATGGGGGTCAAGTGGCACATCGTTTTAAAGGGCGTTTAATTCTCTTTTCAGTGGTATCCTACTTTGTTGCCTTTTTGTCCAGAGGTTTCCGAATAATCGCATTTCAAAGTTGCAGAAACAATTATACCTCATCTCAATACCTGCATTGAGATCTTGGTTTTCAGGCTAGTGTTTACACAAAAATCATTGGAATGGGTTTCCTTGTAGTAAAAATAATTAAAAGATTAGATGGCAACATGGACGTAGCCTTTACATTTTTCTAGGGGGGTCGAAATACTAATAAACATAAAACATCATAAACATTAGCGTTTCTTTTCACAAATTCAATTATTGGAGTGGTCCTTTATTTATTGAAGGAAACTTGACAAGTAATCTGTATCTTAATATGCTTCAAGAGACTATTGATCCCCTTATTACACAAGAGCTAGAAATTCAAATTGATGCAGAGGGTAATCCAGTTTTACAGGAGGATTTGTTAATATTCCAGAAGGACAGTGCTCCACCTTATTATTTTTTCCGGTCCGACAGTGGTTAAACGAGAGATTTCCGGGTACATGGAGGGGCAGACGAGGACCAATTGAATAACCTCCAAGATCACCGGATTTAACACCCTTAGACTTCTTCCTTCGAGGATATCTTAAATCCATTGATGATATAGATGATCTTAAAAGGCGAATTAAAAAAATTTACAGCAGAATACCGGTCAACTCCCGGTGAAGTTTTCCGAAATGTGAGGGAGGAGTTTGAAAACAGATTTTATTATTGTATACAGGAAAATGGACAACATTTTGAACAACTTATAAGATAGGGCGTAAGTGGTGTAACCTAATGTTCTAATCATTTGTACCACAAGGAGATCCACTGCAATAGTTTTTGTGTAATCACTAGCCTGAAAACCAAAATCTCAATGCAGGCATGTTTAATTGTTTCTGCAACTTTGAAACGCGGTTATTCGGAAACCTCTGGACAAAAAGCTACAAAGTAGGATACCACTGAAAAGAGAATTAAACGCCCTTTAAAACGATGTGCCATTTGACCCCCATTCCCATTGAAGAATGTAAGGGTGACATCTACCCCTCCTAGGAGGTTGAAAGAAAAAGGGTAAAAATATTCATTTAAAGTGTCCCCCTTACAAATAAAATTGACGTGTCTTTCCGATTTTTCATATTTTTAACTGCAAGAAAGATATTAAGGGTTGGAAGTTTTAAAATTGACACAGTGTATACGGTTTGAAGTTGAACTTTACTCTTCAATAACTTTTAAACGAGTCGATTAACTGAAAAATCATATTAAACCTTTTTTGAAGGTCATTCAATTTTCTACAAGAATAGGTATTTATTTTTATAATCCGCTGATTTGTTAGAACGCAATAAAATAAAAAAAAATCCCCGTGTTATTTAAATGATAAATAGAAAACCACGATGAGACACCTCTTAATATTAATATTAAAATCTCGAACTTTACGAGAATTCTTTTTTCATCATCGTGAACGATATTTTTACAGTAATTAATAGTTACTTTTTTATACAAGACGATAAAATGGTATTTTATCGTCGACCGAAAAGATTAATTCACGGGCGATGAAATCGCGAGTGAATTAATTTCGGGACACGATAATGCAATTTTATCGTCGTGTACAAAACAATATTTTTTCCATAGCGAGTTACGTTTTAAAAAATTTTCAGAAATTATTATTTCAAGGAATTTAGTAGAAAAAATATTGTGCTGGGTTGGCGTTGGTTTCTATGTAATTTGACAAATAAATAAAACTGTCTCTTTAGTTGTCAGTTTTGAGTCAATATTTTTTAATTCTCTTTCGTGTCGATTGCTGATTGAATTGGAGCCAGAATTGGCTCAAAACGAAATAAGTAAATACCAACAGATATTCAGGCTGGGGCGATAAACGCCATATCCAAACTACTTCCATTTAAATCCCGAATAACTTATGAAAAGGAATACAAAAATCTTCAAAAATGGAAGCAATTAAAAAACGTGCTAGGAGAAATAAAGTTTTTAAACTTTCCTCGCTGTTAAAGTAAGTATAGGTATGTATAAGTAGGTACACACGAAAATCAGCACCCAAGGCCAGAAATGCCAACCCAGTATAGTCTTTGAACCAATCAAAAAACAGTTTGTTTATATTTTAGCTTCATATGTTTTATCGTAATTTTTAAATAACTATATTATATATACCTAATAACAATCACCCACTAGTGAACAGAGTTAAACTTTGGTTAAACTAAATCAATGGAATCACATCGCTCGTAACCTTAACAATAAAAATGTTTTAAGTTCATTGCTATAATAAAAAAATACAATGGATAATCTATCTATAGAATTGTTAAATAACCGTGATATACGGCTACATATTTCATTAGTTTCGCGGTAACAGGTCATTGTAAAAAAACTATTTAATGTAGATATTAAATAAGTTTAAGGACAACGGTTGTAAATAAACATTGAAAGCCACAATAGTACTTTATATAATACTAATCTTTAATCATTATTTCAGTATTTGTACTGAACCAAAGTTCTACAGTATGTCCCCTGATTGTCGTTAAAAGAGGAAAAACTTATTTATTTATTGACATTTTAAGAAAAATGCATTCTCTATAAAAAAATTTGCTTGTCCGAAAATGGTCAAAAAACATGAAAATTGAAAATATAGTTGAATTTTTTCATGGACATCAACAAAACCTACGACTAGCAACAGAACATGTCATCAGACATTGCAACAGCAGCTACAAATATCTCGGAATGAAAATATCTAAAGACGGAGCAGTTTCGATGCTAAATGGAATACTATAATATAGGATAAGAATATAACGATAGAAAACAAAAAAAGAATTTACAATTCCATCGTAAAAAGCATAATTACCTACAGCTCTGAAGTATGGTCCTTAAAAGAGAAAGCTGAAAGAACGCTAAAAGCCACAGAGATGGACTTTTGGAGAAGATGGGCTGGAAAATCCAGAAAAGATAAAATACCAAATGAAACGATAAGACGCCAAATGGAACTAAGACACCATATCGTAGATGACATAAGAACTCATTAATATGGTATGAACATGTGCAAAGAATAGAAGAATATCGAATCTCAAAGAAAATATTAAATTGGAACCCTCAAGGTAGAAGAAAAAGAGGAAGACCACGCAAGAGGCTGGAGAGAGGGTATTGATAAAGAAGTTTTGTACAGAGGTTTGGAAGTAGATGGATGGGGAGAGAGAGAGGTGGAGATTAGGAATCGGAAAACGTAAAATATATATATATATATATATATATATATATATATATATATATATATATATATATATATATATGTATATATATAGCAGTATATATATATATATATATATATATATATATATATATATATATAATATATATATATATATATATATATATATATATATATATATATATATATATATATATATATATATATATATATATATATATATATATATATATATCTAAACCGATTATGTATATATATATTTTGCAATATAATATTCTATAGACAATCAAATAAGTGTAATAAAATTTCAGTCAAAACAAAACTAAACTTCATTCATAAAATAAAGCAGTCAACACATAATCAATCAAATCATATTAATTACTAATATATAAAACTAAATATAGGTATTAATAAATACTGTGCTGATACAATCTTTTATAATATAACGCCAATAAATACTGAGGTTTCATTCAGAACAGCCACAATAAAAATAATTTCATTATAACAATAAAAACAATTTATCGGATTACCAAATGAAATAATAATAAAACGTGATTAAAACAGCTGTTTTTTTAACCATAATAAAACCATAATGCTAATTTGTAATTATATTATAAATGATTCTGACAATAACCGGTTTAAGAGAAAAAAAATGGTTTAAATTGTTACAATTTTATATTAGTTTATTCAACTGTAAAATAAGGTGTCGAGGTTGCATCTAAATTTAATTGACTTTAGTAATGACAAGTTAATCTATATGAGATGCAGCCATTATCGCGGAGACAGAGGACGATATGCCAGAGACAGCTTCATAAATTCTATCAAGTAGGTAAGCCGAGAATTAAATATGATTATCTCTACAGAAAAAAAAACTGAATGCTCTTTCTCTAAAGAGCTGGTAAGATGCAAACTGGTAGTAGAAAACAAAATTATTGAGCAAGTATCACAGTTAGATACCTAGGAATACAAAGAACCCAAAACAGTTTTAATTGATATATAAAACAACCCAGAAGTCCCAACTGGCAAAGGAATTCGTCAAGTAGACTGGACCAACAAAGGATTGAAAATAGATGGAGAATATCTTAACCATCTAAGATTTGCTGATGACATAGTCCTAATTGCCAATAGTCCTGAAGAACTACAAGAACAAATTAACGAACTAAATACAGCCAGCAATAAAGGAAGTCTCAAAATGATTTTAGCAAGAAT